GTAACAGCAAAATCAATCCTTGAAGGATGTAGATAAAAACCATACGGATAACAATCGAACATTCTTTTCTTCTTTCATTCACTAAATTAGTGGTTTGGGAAATTTATGTGGTAGTGACTTTTTTTTTTGGTTGCTTTGGCGCTTAAATTTTGTTTAGAATCCCTCCATGGCCAACAGATATGATAACGACCATCCTTTTTCGTGAGTGTACTTTGAATGCGTTTTAGAGTTTCTTCATCATCATTATCATTTGGAGACTCTTGAATTCCTACTGATTCTAATCTCCAAAAATTTTCTGGTTCTGAATTAATATTAGCCCTAAGGGCACATACCCAATTTTGTGAAGGAATGTTATTTTGACAAAGTTTACTTACATCTCCACTTCCGGCAATCATGGGGCCAACCTCCGGCAATCATAGGGCCTTTTCGCCATTGTGACTGTCTTTAAAACAGATCAAGCATTTCTTTAGCAATTTGAGGCGATTCCTTCTACCATTAGCAGTTGGATTCGCTATCCTAATGATCTCGATTGCAGAATATGCACGACCTTCTTTTACTTACGGTGAGTTGTGATGAATGTTGATTGCTTCGAACTGCGGATGATAAGGGTCTTGAATTGCTACGTAACATCGACAGTGCTGGTGTTCCTCCAGGATTATATCTCGGTTTTTGTCCTAACTTGTCGATTGCAAGTTTAGTGTCCATAAAAGTGAAAAGATTCGGACTATTTTTGACTTGTTGGGTTACATGGATATTTATTAACACCTATATTAACACCTATCTTACATTTATTATTCATTGCTAGATGATACGGAATGTTATCACCTGTGAACGATTTGCATATGATACTGATCAGGTGGAACATCGCTCCATTTGGTTTATGAAAGAAATGACAATAGTATTGTAACCCTATCTCATATAGTATTGATGATAATAGTATGACAATAAATGGCATGATATTATTAATAACATCACAATAGCGAAGAGTATGACCTATTTTGCGTCCAGTATTAAGGCAAGCTGCAACACTATTTCGACGAATATTACGGTAAATTATCATACTATTTCATGTTATATTTGGAAATTTCTGTTTTGTTTTTTACGACAAAAATAATTCCTTTCCTTTTCTGCGCGCTATACCTTTGCTCGTGTTCATATTGATCGCCAAATGATACGGAATGTTTTGCCATCGGCGAACGATTTTATATGTGACACCCTTACCAGATGAAATATTCTACATCCCTTGTCATAAAAATATTTTCCTCAACAAGGAAGCGAAAGAAAAATTTCACTAATAAATTCAACGAATAAATCAAATAGTTTAATTACAAATATCACAAAAAAATTGTTAAAAGACTTTTTTCA